CTTCACCACTAATCTCTTTCGCCATTACCATCACCACCACCACCACCACCACCACCACCACCATCACCATCTCTTATCCACCACCTTCACTACTGCTGCCGCTCTTTTTCCTCTACCACAAAAAATTAGTTCATGATTTTTAGTAATAAAAAAAAAAAAACCCTAAATCTAATCGTCTCCCTCACATCACTCTCTCAGTCGCCTCTCTCTCTCTCTCTCTTTCTCTCTCTCTCTCTCACACCCTCTTGTTTATCTCTGCACCGATCTCGTTCATCTCTGCACCGATCACTCTCTTACTCTCTCGTTGCTCATCTCATCGGTTCGCACCGATCATCGCACCGCCGATCTACTCACAGGTAAACTCTCTCATCTCATCTCTGCACCGATCACTCTCTTACTCTCTCGTTGCTCATCTCATCGGTTCGCACCGATCATCGCACCGCCGATCTACTCACAGGTAAACTCTCTCATCTCATCTCTGCACCGATCACTCCCTTACCCTCTTGTTTATTTCTTGAATGTTTTGATAGTTTTCTTGGATGTCATCACATTCCACAGTAGAGTTACATTCATCAACCACCATGGCCACCACAGTCCGCCATTGTCTTGCCATATTCGTTTTTTTGTTCGTCGATATTGTTTTTTTGTTAGTCGTGAAGGTATAGATTTTTTATTTTTTATTTTTTTTCTTAAGTTATTTAAGAGAATATTGAAATCTATAGGGAGATGGTCAAAAATTGTTGCTGATTTTTCTGCTGCAATAATTATGTTGATTGTCAACAATAGTTTACTCTTTAAATTTGGATTTTGAGTTTCAGTTTGCCTTAGGTCTATGCATGTTGGCTTTGATTGATCGTCTGTTAATTTCTACTCAAATAGCAGAGTGAGTTTGTAGTTGCCAATTCTATTTACATAAACATGCTATTTATATTAATCTTGTTTTTTTTTTCTTCTTTCTTTTTTTTTTCTTTTTTTTTTTAACTTTTTAGATTCCTCTGTTTAATTTTGATTCTACCTAGACATTTTAATACCATATGTCATTTGCCTATCCATGTTTAGAAAATCACGAAGACACTTGTTAGTTTTGTTTTTCATCCTAATGTTCTTGGAACCTGCATGTCATCCATAATTTGTGTTCAATTGCTCCAATTTAGTGTACTAACTACAACACATCAATTTAATGTTTGAAGATGATATTTTACCAAGAACACTGATTCCCTTGGAACATTAATTTAAATTTCTCTTCTGGTGGATTGTATTCCTTTTATATAATAAATCAAAAATTCTATGAAGCCTTTGAATCTTCTGTTTACTCTATTTATTATCTGTTAATCTAGGACTTAACTCTTTAGACAACTTCCCTTGTTTATTATCTACTGAAATAAGTTAGTCGGGTTTTTATTTATTTATTTATTTATTTATTCCAGTAACTGTTTTTGGTTTTCTTTTGACTTCTGAAATAGAATTAGAGCAACATATACACAGGTATATACACACATAAACTTTAAGATTCAATCTTTCAAAATTGTTTTTTTGGTAGGGCCATTTTTTGTTTTGATATTTATTTGATTTTTTATGTATTTATTTATTATTATTTTTTATGTATTTTGGTTTAGATTTCTAAAATTGTGGGAAATTTTGTTGAATTGAAATTATATATATATATATTTTATGAATTATTTCAAGAAGGTTGGTTTCATGCAATTGTCCTGGTGTTAAAAAAAAGAAAGAATAATCCTATCAAAGAAAATTCTTGGAGCTACCATTGCCCCGTATATCACCAATTGTGTAATGTGAATTTGACATCTGTGAATTTTTTATTTGTATTTTGTAGTAGCATTCTACTGTTAGAATTAAAGGCAGATGAATATGACTTTAAGTTAGGACATCACTCTCTCAGTCGACTCTTTTTGTATATGTTGTTGTATGTTGCATTTCCAGCTCACTCATATGTGATTGATGAATCGTAACGTGCTTAAAATATGAAACCGGCTACATGATAACAAATTGAAATAGTGTTTCTCCTAATTAGTCAGGACTGAACTTCGTTTGAAAGTTCTTGTTTTTGAATTTGAGTTGAAGATGCTTTTATTGGAAGAATGTGGTTTATTTTAGTTTTGTGCTAGTGTATGGGCAGCATTGGAGTGGTTTTTCTTAGTGATTTACTAGTTTTTCTAAGTGGTTTTTTTAGGTGGTTTTTCTAAGTGGTTTTTCTAGGTAGTTTTGCTATGCTAGTTATTTACTGGTATGCCACTCTGCTCTTCAAAAGGAAATTATTGACACATTATACTAACATATTTCTCTGCTTTTAATGAATTTTTGAACAATGTTTCACTTGCAGTTGATTATGGTTTAATGTTTGCTTCATTGTCAAAAATCAATTATGAAAGTGCAAACTTCTAGATCTAAATGACTGACACTTTGTGTCGGAGTCACATTGGATTTCATTATCATATACCCAGATGTTGTTGGTTTTTGGGTTGGTCACAATGCATGCTAGATTCTGGTAAGATCAAGGAGCCAAATTGATCTATAGATTGGTGGTTTATTTATGGGTTAGTTGTTCAGACAGAGTTTCTATGCAATGATGTCAATTGGAAGTATCTATTTTTCTTAGCTGATTATGTTTATTAAGGAACAACAAATCATGGATTGCAAACACTTAAAAGGAAGAGAGTTGTTTTTGTAAATTCTCAGATCAACTAGTCATTGAGGTGCGATGAGTGTGTTATTTAAAACACATTTCCCTGTTGTAGTTAAGAAAAACATGTAAGGTGGAACTGATAGGAATCTAACTATTTTTAAGTAATGAACCACTTGGCCAGGTACCTCTGCTGAAGTAGTTCAGATAACAGTTAAACAAATCCACCAATCAAATTTCTTAGTCCTTTATAGATGTTGGATGTTGGATGTTGGGGAAAGAAGGGTTATTACACATTTCATTGCTCATTGGTTATTCTATAATGCATGATTTCTTCTCTGCCTAATGCCTTGAACTAGATTATGAAAAACTTGTAACAAATTGTCTTAATTGGATGACATCAATATCAATATTACATATTCACACTGCATCCTACCAAAAAAGTTGCGCTCTTAAGTTTCTTTTTTTTTTTGACTTGGATTTGGCTTTTGATGTCAACTAAACCAATTCAATTACATAAATGGGGAGCTATGGATTGATGTGCTCAAGTCCACGCTAGAGTATGGACTCGCACCCAAGTCGTGGACTGATTACTTGTACCTTTCGGTGGGTGGTACTCTCTCGAATGGTGGAATTAGCGGCCAAGCTTTCAATCATGGCCCTCAGATTAGCAATGTGTATGAGCTTGATGTTGTCACAGGTTTGATTATCACCTTCCCTCTTCTTTGTCTTTTTCCTTGCATGCATGTCTATTTATATATACAATAAATAAATAAATAAAAATTAAAATACATAAATGGGTCATTGAACTAGACACAACCCATGTAAAACAGTGTATGTTTTTAATGATTTGGTGAACATGCAACAGAGAACTTTTGAACTTGGGGTATAATATAAGAGGACACTTTTTATGTTTTTGTTGTTCATATGGTATTTGATCTAATTTATGCGTACTGCAACTAATTAATTCTGTTTTTGGTCAGATTAAAAGTAACTCGTCTAAATTAGGATTAAAGAATTGACGAGAAATTATTTTGTCAGCGTCTAACTCTCATAATCGAAACTGTGTGGAGATCACATCCACTAATCACCCGGGACAATCCAGGTTTAGGAGGATGCTTTTGTCTTCTCATACCTTTACATAGGGGGTTTCTAGTTACTTTTTTTGGTCGTAACTTTATAATTTTGGTACTTAAGACACCTTTTACCACTATATATATTTTCACATGGGTGGGTGCTAACGACTCTCCAATGGTCGTTCATAAAAACTAAATAATATTAAATATATATATATATATATATATGAATTTAAATATATTTGTCATATTTTATACATTTTGATGTATCCTTATGCATTTTTTTACATTATTTAATATATGTTTTATGCGGTTAGCATATAAGTATTGTTATGTGCATAACTGAATGCTCGCGTGTGGTGGTTAGTATAATCACTGACTAGTATTGTCACTGTTTTGTTTTTTTATATCTTCTTTTGGGAATTTATTAAATACGTCTTTTTTTTTAGTATTTTTATGATATGGCTTTATCTGAAACAGGTAAGGGTGAGATCTTGACATGTTCAGAAGAACAAAACTCAGAACTATTCCATGTTGTTCTTGGTGGTCTAGGGCAATTTGGGATCATTACTACAGCTAGGATTGCTCTTGAACCAGCTCCACAAAGGGTTAGTCAACTTATACTCTTCTCCCATTTAAATTTTAATCATTTCCATTTCATAAATGGAATGCACATCTCTATTAAAATTTTGACACATCATCAAAATTCAAAATTAACAATGTAATATATAGCCGCTTTTATTTAAATATCTGAGTAAAAGTTTCCTTTTTTTTGTGAACAAAAATAAAAATTTATTGATGAATATCAAAGTACAAAAAATACAACCAGATTGCATTGATACCAAAAAAAAAAGTTTAAAACTATCATTAGGTTACTTAAAAAACATATCCCAATTGAGTTAGTGCCAATTCCCAAGCTAATAATATGATAAGCTTAACTTGAATTTTAAATTACATGACGCTTGAGTGCGTAAAACATGACTGTAGGAATGAGATATTGTTAAATATTGGAACCCAAAGGCAAAGCATACTGAGCCCTTGCCCTTTTTTTCAAGTTTATGTACCTGGTAGTTAACAGTAGAGCCATAATTGTGTCAACACTGAAACCTTTTCTATGGAACTGATTTGGTGCTTATGCATTTTTCAACAGACTTCATGTTGGTTTTTCCGGGAAAAGCACTGCTGTTGTTTCTACTGGCTGTTCATCTAGAAGGTTCTTGTCTTCCTTCTTTAGAGGATGGGTCATGGGCGTTATATCTCCGTTAGAGGATGGCCATTTCTACTTGGAAGACGTCACTGGAGCAGTTAAGCAGCTGGTTACCTGGTTCAGTCAGTATCATGGGCTAAGAGTTTGATGTTATTATTTGACTTTGGGGTCAAGTATTGCAAATCAATGGGATCATGGATTTGGGTGAATTTTATAATTTAAATATGCTTTTATGAACATGTACAGTTTAATTATTCTTTGTAAAATATTGAATTTGATGGTTTGATCAATTTTTATTTTTATTTTCTGTTATGATGTTTTTGTGAATGGAATGTAAATAATCAGCTCTTAGAGAGTGAGAGACGGCACCACCGTCGGAAAAAATAGAAAATTTTAATATTTTTATTAATTTTGTTATAGGTTTTACTTTTTGCGACGACATTATACTGTCACAAAAACTAGGAATTTTATTATTTAAAATAAAAATTTTATTATTTTTTTATATTTTTTGCGACGGCATTACACTGTCCAAAAAATAGAAAATTTCATTTTTTTTTATACTTTTTGCGACGGCACCACCTGTCGCAAAAAATAGTGTTTTTTTTAAAAAAAGACTATTGGCGACGGTGTTTTTTGCCGTCTCAAATAACGTTTTTAGCGACGGTTAAATAGGACCGTCGCAAAAAAGTCAAGAAATTTCAAAGGTTATTAGCGACTGTACGGTGCCGTCGCAAAAAGGTAAAAAATGCCGTCGCAAAACATTAGCGACGGCATTTACCGTCGCAAAAACTCTTTTGCAACCCCTGCAGTTGCGACCCCCTCTTGCCGTCGCAAAAAGTATTAGCGACGGCATTAGGAGTATTAGCGACGGTATTTTACCGTCGCAAAAAGTCAACTTTTTTGTAGTGATTATTAGTTAAATAGTCACTGTGCCTAAAGGCACTTCATTATTTCAATATTTTTTTTTATTTTTTTATTAAAAAAATATAAAAATAAAATAAAAAGAATGATATGATAATTTATAATGATTTTTTTTATTAAAATTGAATTGTTGTTAAACGAGGCCTGATTTCTTACGTTAAACCCCAATGAAGAAAAAGTGTTAGTGGATTTGACCCATTAAGACTGGGGGAAAAAAAACTACCTGTTGCAACATGCAATGCAACACATGATTATATATAATTGTGATTTATTTGATGACTAGATTTCTTATGGTAGTTGGGGGAAAAAAAAAAAAACCTACACAAACTAATTTTTTTTTAGCAAATTACACTCCTAATTTCTTTAGAAATTAGACTAAAATTAAAGGACAAAATAATTCATTACTTTCCCCAAAGTGATTGAGAGGTTAGTAACTACTTTGAAATTGTCAATTCCCTTTTGAATGAATTTAATTTTTATCAAATTTCTCAACAAATACTATCAATTAGACTAAATTAACATAATGTACAAAATTAAATAATAAAATTGATACAATTGAAACTATACGAACCAAATTATAACACAGAAAACAAATTACACGAACCACTTGTATAATTTATCCTAATTTGTTTTACTAATAGATGTGGCACACATATAGATAAAACATTTAGATTTGAAATATAACCCGTTAGGATAACATGATTGGAACAACTAAGAAAAAATTGCAAAATTTGTTAATTTGTGTATTATTAGTGAGTCACTGTGCCTAAAGGCACTTCATTATTGGAAAAACAACCGTTAAATTTATTTATTCTTAATCCTCAATTATATTACATAATATATTTTTAAACTGATTTGTTTTATTACATGAAGTTGATTACTACTTCGATAGTGATTTGGTTTCCAATATGGCCACGTCACCCCCATAATCTTTTCTTCTTCTTTTTTTTTTTTTGGTTAAAAATATGATACAAAAAATACCACAATTATATTTTTAAATTGGCAAATATCATCTTTGAGGAAACGTTTTGGCGGTGTCTTGGTGGTTGTGTGTTAGGTAGGTAGCTCTATGGTTTACTAGTAAAAAAATTTCTGAAATGAGATAGATGAGGGCTGCTGACTTGCCTTGGCCTGTAAGACAACTTGTTTCAAATTCTTTCGTTTTGTGGGAGAGAGGTCTTTGTTGGAAAATTTGTTATATTAGGTAGTCCCAAGTAAAATTATAATATTACTTTGATAATTGAGTAATAGTAAAACACATTGGTGAATCATTTTTTTTTTTTTTTTAATTTCTCAATTACCTAATAAAAGTTAGTCCGTATTATCCCACTTATAAAATTGTTTGTCACATCTATATATTATATAAGGAAAAAGAAATTTCTAACCCACAAGTCTTGTGGAAATTCTAATATCTCAATCTTAATTTTTTAATTTTTTAATTAAAATAAAAAAAATAACCTCAATGCTTATTGACTTTTCCCAAATATTTTTGACTATGTGTTCTTCTCGGATTAGGAATAAGTGTCCTATGTCTATTAGACTTCTATATATCTCAGTAATGTATTCATGTAGGGTTAGGAATTAGTGGTACTCTATATAAATGATGTATGTATTCTTTGTTCAAATTAATTCAAGACTAATATACAATTTTATTCAGAAAACTTACATGGTATCAGAGCTTGGTTCGAAACCCTAATCTGAAGGATTTGAAACCCTAGCAACCATCTCTGTTCGTTTTCGTCTGGTTCGAAATCAACCCATCCATCGTGATTCGTCTGTCCATCGCGATCCATCTGGGTTCAGGTCAAGACCCATCGTCACAACCTGCTGGTTGTCTGTTTCTGCCTCTTTCATGCCTTCTTGCAGAGTCGAAACCCTAACAGCCGTAGCCTCTCTGTTTCAGTCGCAACCCATCGACTGTAAATCGCGATCAATTATCGCCCTTGCATCATCGTATCTCTCTCAGTCCTCGTCGGCTTCATCTCGGTTCATCATCGCAACTCCCTCTGCGATTTTCTGACTTTGGTTCTCTCTCTCTCTCTGTGGCTTCATCTCGGTTCATCATTGTGACTCTCTCTCGTGACTCTGGTTCTCATCTCTCTGTCTCTGTCTCGGTGATTTGTTATCAATAGTATATAAAAACCCTTATTCCTCTTTGACCCATTAATCTTTAGTTTATTACAATAATGGACCCTAAAATTCAAGCCATTAAATGTAAACTCAATGGTGGCAATTATGCCTATTGGGCCAGTGTTATGAAGAATTTCTTCTTGGTCAAAAAAAATGGGGCTATGTTTCTGGTTCTGCTCCTCGTCCATCGAGACCCAAAAGTAGAAGGGTATCTGTCTTCCTGTGACACTTGGGATTGTGATAATGCTCAAGTCTTACCTGGTTTCATAACTCTGTGGATGACCGTATTGGAATGATGTTTTCCAAGTACAGTACTGCCAAGGAAGTGTGGGATTATTTACTCGGTGTTTATCAGCAGTCCAATTTTGCCAAGCGGTATGAGTTGGAAACAACTTTTCAGGGTGCTCGTCAGCGGGATCAAACTATTCAGGACTTTTATATTGAGATGACAGGTCTCTGGGATCAGTTGGCTCTTATGGAACCACCTAGTCTCAAGATACTAGACGCTTATATTGAGTTTCGGGAACAGGGTCGTTTAGTCCAGTTCTTAACACTCTCTCCCCAGTATGAGGCTATTCGAGGTGGCATCCTCACCGATCTCCTCTTCCTCTTGTGGATGCTATTGTTCGTGAACTCCTCTCCGAGGAAACCCGTCTTAAGACGGCCAGTCAGATTTTGCCTCCTTCTGTGTTCTTGGCTCCTGCCAAGCCGCCCTTGTTATCGACCCCTCCTTCTCATCAACTTCAGGCCATTGCAAAACCCAAGAGAGGACCATTAGGGCTAGATGAGTGTGCTTTCTGCCATCAGAGGGGTCATTGGAAGAACAATTGTCCTAAAAAGGGACGTCAGCCTGCTCCGTCTTCTCAGAACACAGTTCTGCGGTACTACTTCGAGTACTTTCCGACCTCATGCTGCTTACACTGCATCTACTCCGGCTCCCGATCCTGACTTGGCTTCCCTGAGTGCTCAGGTTGCACAACTTCAGCATATCTTGTCCACCTCTCAGTCCTCCCCATCTGCCTCCGCTCTTACCTCTCTTCATTCAGGTTTGCTTGGGTCCTCTTCAGGTATCCCTTCTTCTGTTTGGATTTTTGATTCTGGTGCCTCACATCATATGACTCCTCACCTTTCCTTACTTCAAAATTGTATTCCCCCACCCGTTCCTATTGTTATTAATACTGCTAATGGATCTGGTATGTCTGTTTTATCTGTTGGGTCTGTCTTACCCTCTGCCATGTCTACTGTTACTCTTCTTCTGTCTTTTATGTTCCTCAGTTATCTGTCAGTTTGTTATCTGTCAGTCAACTTGATGCGTCTGGTTTTGATGTTATCTTTTCCTCTTCTGTCTGTTGTGTGTAGGATCGGGTGTCCAAGAAGCAGATTGGGATCGACCGTAGAATTGGAGAGCTCTATGTGGTTGAAAGCTTGCATCTCCCCTTATCCACCTCTCCAGCTGCACTTTCCTCGTTTCAATTAGATTCTCAGTCGAGTCAGTTTTACTTATGGCATTCTCGTCTTGGTCATTTGTCTGTTGACCGCTTACGGTCTTTAGCTCAGTCAGGATTGTTGGGTAAAGTTTCTCCTAGTCAAATTGATGAATGTCGGGGGTGTAAACTTGCTAAAATGTCAGCTTTACCTTTTAATAAAAGTACGTCTATTTCTGTTTCTCCTTTCTCTCTTGTGCATACTGATGTCTGGGGACCTTCTCCTGTTCTTACTAAAGGGGGTTCAGTATATTATGTGTCTTTTGTAGATGATTGCACCCGTTACACGTGGGTTTATCTTATGACTCATAAGTCTGACTTCTACAAAATATATCGTGCTTTCCAGTCTATGGTCACTACACAGTTTGGATCTACTATTAAATTGTTGCGGTCTGACTTGGGTGGGGAATACTTTAAAACTGAATTCTGTGAATATTTGGCCAACTTGGGTACCATTCACAAACTTCTTGTACTGATACACCTGCCAAAATGGCTGAGCTGAGCGTAAACACCGTCATCTTCTTGAGACAGCTAGATCTCTTCTTCTCTCTGCCTCCGT